TAACACCAGTCATGATGGGTATACAAAACGTCCAGGCAATACACCAGTCATGATGGGAATCACAAACGTCCGGGCAATAACACCAGTCATGATGGGTATTACAAACGTCCGGGCAATAACACCAGTCATGATGGGCATCACAAAAGTCCGGGCAATAACACCAGTCATGATGGGAATCACAAACGTCCGGGCAATAACACCAGTCATGATGGGCATCACAAACGTCCGGGCAATAATACCAATCATGATGGGCATCACAAACGTCCAGGCAATAACACCAATCATGATGGACATCACAAACGTCCGGGCAATAATACCAGTCATGATGGGCATCACAAACGTCCGGGCAATAACACAAATCATGATTGCACAATTTTTCACTGTGCTCACCATTACGCCGTGAGCTCATAGGGTCCCAAACGCTGGTTTGTAAATTCACACTTTATTTTCTTAAATAATGATGTAAAATAATAGTACTTTGAAGATATCCTCTACGTTTGTTGCTATAGCTACACAGCATAGAGTAGACGTCACTGTGTCTCAATGCATTTCCTACAGTGTAGCCTTGGAATCGTCTTTCATCTCGCAGTGAACTGCCGGCCACGCAACACAACGCGCGGGGGTCATTTGGAGTTGACATTTCTGAGGTCTCAACAGCTTGTACCCAGTGTTATCAAGTGAAAAATGACAGCAGTAAACAATGAGAAATGCCTGTGAAGACGCTGACTGATAGTCTTGAACTCACTCGGTACGCTACTGTAATCTACTACCGTCCGATCCACGTTATGATGGGTGCACACTCTTCAACTCTTACCGTCCCAGCATTGGCGCGATTACACAAGTAAATGAAACCTTATATTATGTAACACTTATGCATCTATTTTAGGTTTTGTCCATTCATTCATTGTTTAGATTTAATTTATTTTTAAAGCTTTCAGCTTAAAGCTTGTCTGAAAAATGTTATTGATGAACAAAAATGATTCAACCACCATTTATTGTTATGGCTTTCTAAATTTAAATACAATATTTAACAAAGTTAACTAGTAGCTTCGCGATAAGTTGCTTTCGCGGTAAATGGGTTTCGTATTGGATGACTCTCGCGGGGAGTCGGCCTTTGTCACAGTAACTAGTCCTTTCGTCGTTGTTGTGAATTAAAGTTTTATATTTCTTTAACAACTGGCGCTGTTCTAGGAATACCATCCCTGGAAGCTATTAATTTGCCCTTATGATTTGTGTAGTTGCTCTTGCAGGAGTTCCCAGAGTTAAAGACCAATAAACATTTGACAATTTAAAATGGGCTTTGCATCATGTATTTTTTTATACTTCTCATTGAATGCTGTAATTAATGATCTTATTGGTGTTGCAAAAGATAGTTGAATATTGTTTTATTGAAATTAATAATTCTCATAACAATTTTCCAATATAGATAAATTATAGTACGAAACAAATGTATAACTCAGTCTCAACAATGAAATAAAGAAATGTACATATATTTACATTATTACTAATGCATTGCAATACAACTAATTAAAATTGAAAGAAATTGCAATATAAAATATTCCATCAGTAACACTTCTGGGGGCGTATTTCACGGTCAGTGTTATTTACGAAAATATTAGTTCACACCAATTAGATATAATGTGTACATATTTTATTACATAAAGGTACACTAACAAAAATGAAATATTATTAACTATTTCATAATTTATTATATAACCAGGCAAAAGAAATCAATATTTTTCCTTGCTAGAATGATGCATGTTCCCTATCCGTGTGGATACGTGGGAATGAGATTTAAAGTTCACAACTGGCGATTTAGCAATATTAGGGATTATCAATATGCCCATGTTATAAAAAAAATATTGCATTCATTTATTTTGTAGTAACATTTTCTGTACACCATAGATCCATAGTATCTTTTATTACATTGTACCATAGCATAATTATTATTTGTAAGCATAATATTGTAATGTGAATTTCGTTCATTAATGGAATACTGTGTGATGCCGTGTGTAACTATAATTTCACAAAATAAGTACGT